ATACGTTTGAGGGTTCAGGCTTACAACTTGAATTAAGAGCCTGTATTTGTGTTTCAGGCATGAGAGTATGGTATGTAATGCTGGAAAACAACTTTGAAATTAAGACATGTTGGTTTTTATGACAAGATTTTGTTTCTCACCTTTGACCACTTTAAAGGATACAATTTTAAAAAAATTCTAAGCACTCCCCCATTTCTTTTTCCTTTTGATAAAGTATCTCACACTTCAGATACCCCAAATTACCATTTCAGACAATGAAACTTAGTCTTCAAGTATCTGTCCTTTAAAAAAAGGTGTCACATCTGAAGATGGGACATGGATGTTTGGCTTGAATTAAGCAGACAATGCCTTGAGAAATAGGCATAGATACTGTTGTTCACAAGCCTATTTTCAGTATTAATCATGTTTGACTTTTATAAAATACAACCAGAGCAGCGAAGCACAATCTGCTTTATTCCAGGGGCTGAAGTGCATACAAATAATAGCAACAGAACCACTGGCTCCACTCCAAACCATTCATTCACCAAACCACCCCATTTCCATCATCTACCTCCCTCGTGCTATATGAGCTGGTCCTTCTCGTGTTTCAAACATGAAACTACATGCTCTGCTTCACTTGGGTTTGGTGCAGCTGCAGAGAGGAAAAGGTCTGCAGAGCAGAAAAGCATAGTTAGTAGAAAAGCAGGTATAACTCCAGCCAGGCTCCAGATCATGGTTCATGTTATACTCATTTTACACGGACATCAAGTCAAATTCAGACTTTATTCAGTATTTTTCAGTTTGCCAGTCACTTCCAATTACAAGGCACAGCTGTTTATTACATTTTATACAGTCATTAGAATGCTCTGTATTTAATCTGAACAATTCACAGTGTTTGCTAAGAGCATTTGGTATTACTTTCAATTATGAACATTGTCTTCTGAGAATGTAAAGTAACTAGTGCATACTTGGCCTGCTCTTTTGCTTGCGCAAATTGATGCAGCTCCATTGACTTCAAATGGAGCAATTCCAATTTTATCAGCAGATGATGTGGGCTGCTACATAGCTGCAAAAGCTCTGTTTTTCTGAGGTACAGTCTGGAGACACATACAGCAGAGTGCATGGATGCAGTTGCATGCTGTGGAACGACCCTTGCCATTCCATAACCTAATCCTCAGAGAGCTGCTCTGGCTCTCCAAAGTGTACTCATGGAGTCGCACATGTACGTATATACACATACATATAGGTATATATATATATACACCATATATAGGTGTATATATATGTTAATACATATGTGCAATGTGTATGCGTTGCACTAATTCTCAGAATGGAAATGCAGGCCTCTTGACTGGCTGTCATGCAGCAAGAATAGGAAAATTAAAAGGGCTGCACAGCCCAACTTATGAACTGACGGCTGAGGAGGCGACGGGGAGCAGGATGTCTTCAAAGCAGTGTAAGAAAGCAAAGAGGGTAGGCCTGTACTCTTACCCCAACATACATCTTCCCACCTCCTGTGTTCATTATATATGTGATGGTAGTAATGAAGAAATGCACAGGAAAGTGTTGAAAGTATTTTTAAGCCTTTTTTTTTTACTTTAAAATGTCAGCAACATTCTAATTCATTACAAAGCTAAATTTTTAAGATTTTTTTTTTTACTCGAGATTATTTTTTCCTAAGAGAATTTGCTTGAAAAAGTATCACATTCAGGGAATGCTAGCCAGTTACAACAGTTACCACCCTATTTTTCTCAAAAAAAAAAAATGCCAACTGGAGTTGTCACTATCAGAGCAGTAAGTTCAGTGCAGAGCAGTAAGAATTCTGCTTCTCATTTTACATCTTCTGGACTTTTCCCGCAGATTTCTGTTCCAGTGAGTGCAGTATGCTCTACCTAACAGCAGCCATTGCCTGGTACTGAGATGACAGTGCAGGAAGTTCAGTAAATCCAAGATGTTTGCTTTTTCATGTGTCCAAATGACAGATGGGAAGCATAAAGATGCAGCTCTCCTGAAGGCAGGTAAGACAGCCTTTCAGGTTCTGTCTCTTGGTCTTGCCCAGCTGAAGCTCAGTGTCATATGTGAACTGTCACACAAAGGAAAGAGGTGCTGCCCATGACTTCTAACAACAGGTGCCTTGTAACTGTTGTATTTTATAATGTGAAAGGGGAAAAAAGCAGCATGCAAGATGTGTACACATGCATGTTTCATGCACTCATTACAGTTCTCTTCTTCTGTTGGGCATGATGAGCTCTTGTTTGCTGTGCTGTTAAACATATATTACTGTATATTCCGTTATGGCAACTGAAGAGTGCATGGATCTTGATGGCTGTTAACTTCTTTCCTGTACTTTTTATTGTCTGTGTATCACTTGAAAAACAATCAGACAGTCACCCTCTAGATGCTAGATGACATCCTAGATGATATAGCCTGTGTAACAACCTGCCTAACCAGGTGCACTGAGCTGCTGTGTCTCATACTTTTTTCCTGTAATCATCCTACCATAAACAAGGAACTTTATTTGACACAAGAAAATAAATTGAGCTAAACAAAAAGAAAAGAACTGTCTGTTTCCTAGAAGAGATGATGTGGTCTTACATTCTGTGTTGTTGTTTAGGCTAGCTCGGTGTCTTTAGCTCAGCGTGCAGTGAGGTCCCCTCGGTAAGGATCCGTTTCGGCGGTGCACGGAAGGGCTGCAGGGCCCGTTGCTCCCCATCTGCTGTCGGCGCGGGGTACTGCAGAGCCGGCGCAGCGCGCACCGCGCCGCCGCGTCCTGCCTGCTGCGCTCACCTACACACAATGGGCAGTTCTGCACCACACGTGTAATGCTCGTAAAGTGTAAACCCAAAGTAGATTTAAAAATACTTTTGAGATAAGACAATGTATGGCAGTGAAGATGGCATTTCTTGAAGATAAGTAGATTTGGGATTTAAGGTTATTTTAGCTCTTTTGGCACCGTGGCTTAGATGTTACACAGTTGTTAGCCTTAAGCATATGGATATGCAGAATTCTATATGGATATATATAATTCTAGAGGTATTGGTGAAAAAACAAGTTTGGTACATATGAGTTTGTATATGTTATGCTAATCCATGTCCGGGCACATATGACTTCAATTGTGTGGGAGTGAGATAAAAAAGCAGTCAGGGGGCAGGGAATATAAGAAGAAGGTAGCAGGAGATGTGGATAAGAGGGGAAAGGAAGGAGGAGTTAAAAAGGAGCCTGACGGTAGGAGAAAGCAAGGTGGAAGGTCCAAAGTGGAGGCAGAGATGAGAGGGACAGAAGTTAGACTCTTCAGTTTTCAGCAGCAGCTTTAGGAGTAGCAAGTAGCATTGCATTTTAGCTAGAAATGGCAAAAAGGGACCATAAATCTCAGTACGTGGATCTAAGAGCAAAAAAAGATTATTGTAACAAAAAGAAAAAAAAAAGATAATTTGGACTGTGTAACGAGACTTACTGTTTCCCTGTGCATAGACTGTGGTGCCAGAGCATGATACTTAGGGCAACACTTTAAAAACTGTCCTTTTTTTTTTTTTTTTGTCACTGTAATACTAGAATTATTAAACCAGTTTATACTATCTCGATTCTATCATGTGGACTATGCCAGGCTGGTCTGCTTGTCAGTCAGCACAAAATTGCTTGTGTGAAGATTTTCCGCTGATCTCAGAGAATTAGGGAAAATAAGATGGTTTGTTTCATGTGTTTGCTTGCGCGGCAGATTACACCATTTGCCAGTCCACACTGCAGCAGAGGCCATCCCTTATGTTCAGTGAGGTATCCACTGTGATCCCAGACCCTTCCCTCTACTGAGTAGAACTGAAGCTCAAGGTGACATCCTTCATATTTAATGTGTTCCTGGACTACCTGATACATTAGTTATATAATAATCATATTTCACTTGTGTGTGCCCTTTTGCACTTTACAAATAATTATTTTTATGTATGACATAAAGTGTATAGGAGAAGACTTTTCCATGAATTCCTTGAAGGGGATATCTCATTTTGTTGTTTTAAAGATGGGATAAAATACCCATATTTCAGACAAGTAGATTTGTACAAATTACTTCAGCTGCAAGACACCAACAAAGAAAGTTTGTATCTCTATCTCTCTCCCTCTTTTCTACCTTTGGTGACCAGATGGTTGAATCTGGTCATCTTTGGCAATACTGCTCCATCACAGCCGGCAATTACCCCTATTACTGAATATTTTAGAATCTTGACAATAGCTGTCCCTATAAACACAGCT